ACCCTCGAGCTTCCCGTCGTGTTCTCTCCGGAGCTTGGCGAGAAGGGGTCGGACTCGTCGTCAATAGGCCGCGGTGATGAGCGAGCCGGGCCAAAGGGCGACTTCTGGGCCAGCGGAAAAGGGAAGGGCCCGCCCGCGAGGCCCCGCCCCCCGGGACCGGGCGGAGCGTGTGCGCCCGCTCTGCCTTGTCCCCGGGGCGCGGGCGCGGCACCGGTCCCCCCCCGGGCTGGGCGCCGGGTCCCGCCGGCCAGGGACTGGACAGCGCCCGCGCCCAGGTGCCAGGCCGTGGGAAGGTGACCCACGGCGGCAGGACGCGAACCCCTTCCGGTCCGGCCCCCAGGTCCGTGCTCTTGACCAGGAATCAAATCTGTACCCTTTGGTGCACTGGCCGGTGCTCTAACCACAGAGCACACCAGCCAGGGCCAAAGATACAAACTCTTGACTACCACCAAGTGCCAGCCCACATATATATATATATATATATATGCGCCCTGGGATCCTTTGGATTTCTTTATGGATTGAAGCCATGGAAGCAAACCAGAAGCTGTGGTTTATCTGACATTAGACCACAATGACTTTGTCCATTAGCAGGCAGTCCACGGGCAGGTGGTCACAGGGCCTAGCGATGGGCACAGGCTCACAGCTGCTGCTCGGCTGCTCAGCAGCACCAGTGCGTTTGGCAGAGCCTCTTTATTGTTTTGTGTTTTGTTTTTTTCTCTTTTTTAAATATGTTTTTTATTGATTTCAGAGAGGGGAAGGGAGAGGGAGAGAGAGAGAAACATCAATGATGAGAGAGAATCACTGACCAGCTGACTCCTGCACACCCCACACTGGGGATTGAGCCTGCAAACCGGGCATGCGCCCTGACTGGGAGTCAAACCGTGACCTCCTGGTTCATAGGTCGATGCTTATAGGTGAGCTGGGCTCTTTACGGTTTTTAAAGGTTGCCTTCTAAAGCATTTCTGTCCCTCTGTGTCTTAAACACAGGGTAATGGCCGCTCAGGCTCCGTCGCCAGTCGATTGAGCTCTGTGCCACGTGTGCTACATCAGTACGTGGTGTGTGCTCAGCGTCCTTCCAGCTTTGCCCATTTGCCCCACACCCACTTCCTCTGCTCAGGACATCGAGGCTGAAGCGAGTGCAGGCCTGTGGTGATGCTCTCTCAGCTGTCCCGTTTCTCTCCCCTTTCTCCTCAGTTCCGCGAGTTGTGGCGGTGTCTCCACAGATGCGCCTCGTGGAAGACAACCCCTCTTCTCTTTCCCTCGTGGAGATCTACAAGCAGCGCTGTGCCAAGAAGGGCATCGAGCATGACAACCCCATCTCGCGCTACTACGATAGGCTGGCCACGGTGCAGGCGCGTGGGACGCAAGCCAGCCACCAGGTACTAACTCGGGACAGTCAGGCGTTCGTTCGAGCTGCCACCCGAGGCCTCAGAAACGGCTGCTTTCTGCTTCCATGACAAGTGTGCTCAGAGTAGTGTGTGTGCACGTGTGTGTGTGTATATGTGTGTGAGAGAGTATGAGCATTGTGTGTGTGCATGTGTGCGTGTGTGTGTTGGGGGGTGGGTGAGAGGTTCCGTTTTGGACCTGTGAGTTGGTAGAAACGAGAGGTCCACTGAGTGACATTTGCTGCAGATTGGTTGTTATAACAGGAAAAAAGGTAAGTTTTCAACCTTGGAGAGGTTCCTAATTCTTTACCTGCATTTACAAAGCAGCTCAGGAGTTAGGATTTTAAAAATAACTTTACTGCAAACTCATGGCAGCCAAACCTCTTCTGAGCGATGTTCATGTTTATCAGGGTTGCTGCGGGGCATTAGGTAATGTACTCTGTGCTCTGTGTGCTTCCTAAAACACGGGAAGTGGCAAGCCCAGGACACCGCATGCACCAGGGCTTTATTTACTAGTAGACGGCTCCGTTGTTGCTCAGAGCCCCGCAGGTGGATCCCTGGGGGGAAACCGACCAATCTGTGCATCCCCCGTGCAGCCAGAGGACACTGCATATGTTATTGACAAAATTAGCTCTACTGGTGCCACGTAAGAAGTTACAATTTGAGAGTTTTCTTTTTGAGGAAAAGAATAAGTGAGTTGGATGGGAGAGTCATGGGGCGGCATGTCATTTCAGGTCCTTCGAGACATCCTCAAGGAAGTGCAGAGCAACATGGTGCCGCGCAGCATGCTGAAGGAGTGGGCTCTGCACACCTTCCCCAACGCCACCGACTACTGGACGTTCCGGAAGATGCTCACCATCCAGCTCGCACTGATTGGCTTCGCGGAGTTCGTCCTGCATTTAAATCGGCTCAACCCCGAGATGTTACAGATCGCCCAGGTAGTGTGGTGTGAGTAGCCAGACCCTCTCCGTTAGATGTTGCGTTCTGCTGTTTAAGTTCTAAAATGCCTCCTTCTGAAACTTAGGACACTGGCAAACTGAACGTTGCCTACTTCCGCTTTGATATAAACGACGCGACTGGAGACCTAGATGCCAACCGTCCTGTTCCTTTTCGCCTCACGCCCAATATTTCTGAATTTCTGACCACCATCGGCGTCTCTGGCCCCTTGACCGCCTCCATGATTGCTGTTGCCCGGTGCTTTGCTCAGCCAAACTTTAAGGTAGGTCATGGGTTGTCTGCGAAAAGCACAGGCTGGGGTCATGCAGTACACGTGTGACCCCACAGGAAGTGCTGATCTGCTCGTGAGGAGGAGAGCTGAGCTAGGAGGGCGTGTTGTTGCTGTACAGTGAAAGCTCCTTCACTTGAAAAGGGCTTTAAAAAGAGGTGTTAGGATGGTGAGGAACCTGGAGCCTTTGTTGGGTGACCTCCCCCAACTGTTAGCACTGCATGTCAGTTTGGTTTACTCCATTTTATAGCTGCCTTCTGTTTCTCGCTTTGCAAACCTTTTTTCTCTGAAAGAGCAGATGTGTTCTCTGGAGGGCCGTGGAGATGGGGCCTAAATGAATGCAGCACGTGAGCCCCATTGTAAACCCCCAGTGATGTGAGAGGTGGCACGGTGCCCGGGCCACGTGCGGGTGTGTGACAGCTCTCCCGCGTGACAGGGCGGCAGCACGTCTGCCATCCCGGGCACCGTCTCGGCTCCTGGCGCTGCACTGGCTGTCCTGATGGATTCTCATCGTGTTCTCCCAGCAATTGTGCAGGTGGGGAAACAGCCAGGGAAGGGGAGTGGCAGGTCAGAGGTCGGACAGCCAGGGGAGGACTGTCTCCTCACAGTGGAGGACAGAACACAGTTTACTTTTTTTTTTTTTTAACTTCTGAGACCAGCCATATCTTTTTTCCTTTTCTTTTTTTTCAGATAAGCAGTTTGTGCCTAGAGGAGGCTTCAGACTCTAATTGCTTTCCCAACACATTTACTCAGGACAGCTTTTAGCTATTGAATAAGCTCTGCATTGTGAACAAGGACTTCACATACCCACACGTCTTTCTGAGGTGCCGTTGCACATATCCGACGTGTGGAAGGCGATTTGGGGATGTCGTGGTGAACTCTTATGAACATGAATAAATATAAATGGCCTTTCGGTTTCTTCTTGGTGAGGAGTTGGTGCTCTGATGCAGTGAATAGCAGTTCACTGTTATCCATTTATGTTTTAGGGCTTGAGATGTGAAGTTCTCGGGTAGACAGAAAGGCTGTCCTCTGGAAACCAATGTAGGGAACTCCTGGGAATAGCATTCAGTTTGAAACCTCTAGAAAGGAAGAGTCTCTCCTTATTTACTTTTTAAATTCATTTTTCAATTACAAATGGCACTATTATGTGAGTTTCAGGTGTACAGCCTAGCCGTTAGACATTTATATAACCCATGAAGCAATCACCCCATCAGTCTAGTACTCTCCTGGCAACATACACAGTTACAATATTATCGGCCATATTCCTTATGCTGTACTGCACATCCCTGTGACTATTTTGTAACTACCTGTCTGTACTACTTAATCCTCTCACCTTTTCCACCAGCCCCTCAACCCCCATTCCATCTGGCCATCATCTGTTTGTCCTTTGTATCTGTTAGTTTCTGTTTTGTTTGCTTTTTAGATTCCACATATAAGAGAAATCCTGTGGTATTTGTCTTTCTCTGTCTGATGTATTTCACTTAGCATAATACATTCTCGGTCCATCAATGTTTTTGCAAATGGCAAGATTTTATTCTTTTTTGTGGCTAATAATCTGTATATATGCACCACTACTTTTTTACCCACTTGTCTATCAATGGCACTTGGGCTGCATCATATATCTGGCTTATTGTAAATAATGCTGCAGTGAACATCTATATATGCATATATACATGCAATGGTGCATATATACTTTTGAATTAGTGTTTTGGATTTCTTCAGATAAATACCCAGAAATGGAATTGTTAGATCATATGGTAGATCTACCTATTATGTTTTGAGGAAAATAGTAAGGTCCATACTATTTACGACAGTGGCTGCACCAGTTTGCAATCCCACCAATAGAACACATCCTCACCAGCACTTGTTGCTTGCTGATTTATTGGCAATAAGGCGCTCCTTATTTTAAAGGCCTGTTACAGCTGGGAGTAACGCCACACGCTGCTCAGTGCATAGGCTGTGCTGGTGTAGATGGGAAGAAATTGGGCCTTCTCCAAACTCGGGGCCAAAATGTCTCCACAGCCTAAATGTAGTGAATGCCTTTACAGTGAGTAAAACAAACCATTCTGTATGGGAATCTCCTTTAAAACACATGCTGTTAGCACCTAATACCATGGGATAGAACCATCGACATGTTCGTGTGAAGTTGCTTTGAACAGTCCTGGGTGCTCTGCATTCTTTGGACTGTGACAGTGGGTTATTGTTGGATATCTCAGTTCAGGAAGGTGTGCAGGCTTCGTAGTCAGTCCCTCTCTTGAATTGCCTTCTGTCTTTTCTTGGTGATCTCAGTACCGAAGTCCTGCCTCTGGTTTCCTGCCCCTTCTCCAACCCCTCGCCCCAGGCACTTGCTCTCCCTCCTGCCATACGCACCCCAGACACCACCTCCGTGGAGGACACAGTTCCAGTGGCTCCATGCCCTTAGCAGAGCTGCCACGTGGGCGCCTCCTTCCCGTGCCCTCTTTCTTCAGCCCTGACTCCCCGGGTGGCCACCAGGCTTGCTCGGACCACACTTGCCGACGGCAGAGCCCAGCCCGCTGCGGACTCCTCCGCTCCTGGGAGGCAGGCCCGCTGGGCCCAGCTGCCTCTCAGTGGGAAGCTGCCCGCTGGTCATTCGTGCTTGAACGTGAGCGTTTCTCTCCTCGCACAGGTGGACGGCATCCTGAAAACTGTGCTTCGGGACGAGATCATCGCTTGGCACAAAAAGACACAGGAGGACACCTCTTCTCCTCTCTCGGCCGCCGGGCAGCCCGAGAACATGGACAGTCAGCAGCTGGTCTCCCTGGTGCAGAAAGCTGTCACCGCCATCATGACCCGCCTGCACAACCTCGCCCAGTTTGAAGGCGGGGAGAGCAAAGTGAACACCCTGGTGGCCGCCGCCAACAGCCTGGACAACCTGTGCCGCATGGACCCCGCCTGGCACCCCTGGCTGTGACACGGCCACTCCCACCTCGCAGGTGAAGGCCGCCGCCCAGGCTCCCGCACTGGCCTCCCCGCGCCTCCTCTGCCCTGTCCATGTGATGCTGGGTCCTCCAGGCTTCCGCGGTACAGTCGTGTCCCTGCTCGCTGTGTGAGAAAGAGGGTGAGTCAGGGTAGGGGGAGCTGAGCCATGGAGGTGAGGCCACTTGAAATGCTGGAGCTGAAACTCGAAGCTTTTAAAATAACCTTTCAGGAAACCAAGATTCCCTGGCCTGGAGTAGGTGAAAGCATCGCCCCTCCGTCTGCGGGCGGACAGACTGAGCTGTAGGAAACAGTTCGGAACGTCCTTTTTAACTTTCAGAAGTCACGCCTGGCGGGAGCTGGTGCTCTGTACAGACCTTTGTAACAGCTGCACAGAAACCCGCCTGGTTAGAGCCACGGGAATTATGAACACACCCTGCTGGCTTCACCCCAGCACAAACTTCCATGCTGCATGGCCAGCACTGGGAACCTCCGAGCCCCGGGGGAGCCGGCAGGTGACTTCCGCTTTATGTCGGCCAGCTCTTTGAATGTCTTCTAGACACTTACTATCATTGTACCTGAAAAAAAAAAAATCACTTCTTCCTAATTTAAAAAGAAGCGGCAACAGAAGTTTGTTAGCTCATCTGTGTTCCCATTTTTATAAATATGAGTATTGAGAATGTTCTATCTAAATTTGTACAGTGTGATTTTTTTAGAATAAATATTTTATAAAAGGAGGTGTTGTCCCTTATGTGTTAAGATGCCTGTTTCTGTGAGGTGTTTCCTGTGCCTGGATGTTCCTCTGGCCCCTGGGGGCTGGCGCTCCACGTGTCCTTCCTGGGCAGGGTCTTGGCTTGGAGCCGGGTCTGAAGCAGGCGCTGCGCATGTTTGTGATGCCCTGAGGCATGCTGGTCCTGACAGGTGATGTGCCCAGGAATCTGGTGTCTCTCAGCTTTGTTTCCATGCTTCAGGCTGCCGCAACCTGTGTGTGCAGCGGGGGAAATGGCCGCAGGCAGCAGCGCCCTGTGCCGAGGCCTCCGCTGTGCCCCCTGCAGGGCTGTTTCCACGTTTGAAGCATCTCCCTGCGCTCACCTCCACTAGCCCTTGTCCTTCGCCCCGCGTGTCAGCACCTCGGGTGGGGAGTGGATGGAGCTGAGGAGTTGCTCCCTGGAGCACGCAGAGGGTGAGGCTGTAATGTCACAGGACGAGAAACATGCAGTAGGACAGAGGGCTGGTGGTTGCTACTTTAGTCCTAAAATTACGATTCTGGATTTAGAAGGACTTGCCCCAGGAGGAAGTGCCCGTCTATGTGAGGACAGTGTTCACACAACGCGGGCCAGGCAGCCAGGCCTCCTTCAGGGCCAGGACTCGGCCGCCTCAGGCCATAGACTCTCCCAGGCGGTCCCCGTGCCCCAGGCCGGGGTGGGGTGAAGCCTGCAGCTGTGTTCACTCAAATCTCACCACAATCCAGTCCAAGGAGCATAATCCATGTACCTGGGATGCCAGCTCATCCTCAGCGGCGGGTGCCCTTAGGGTCGTATGTCTCCAGTCCTCAGACATAGGGGGTCCAGCAGCCCCCAGGTGGCAGCCCCTGCTTTACAGAGAAGGGACTTCCAGCTCAGCGTGTGTAGCTCACCCACCGACCCAGAGCAGTCACGGAGCCACCTGAACATGGGAGAGGTCAGGGGGCCAGGTGTCCATTCGACTGGACTCTTCCCTTTGTGGAGCTAGTTGTAAACTATTTTAGTTACTTGGAGAGTTGTCTTTGTGAGAAGGTGTCTTGGATTCAGAATGACAGGAGCCGGTCAGGTATCTAGAATGACAGGTAACTGGACTGGCAGCTAATAGGTGCCCTGCCAGCGGCAGGCTGCGGGGAGAAGGTGCCTCCAGTCCTCACTGTGTGCTCGGGCTTTGCGAGCCTGGGGTCCATGTGCCTTGTGCTCTGGGAGGAGCGCGCAGCGTGGTGGTTGCGGAATGGCGTTTGGGTAAAGGGAGTCGAGTCCGTGCACTGGTGAGAAGGGCTCGCCCACACCTGCCCAGGCACACTGACTCTGGTTCCTAGGAAAAGCAACAGCCGGTGGGGGCAGGGGGATCTTCTGAGCTCCATCTGTAAGTGGCAGGATCGAGGACCTGCAGTCGCATCTGAGCCAGTGACTCCAGGACCGTGAACCTCAGCTTCCTCACCTGAACATGGCGTCGCTGGGAGCTGGGCCCTCAGGGATGAGGAAGGGCAGGAAAATGGCTCATTTATGGGGGACCCCCCCCCCCACACACAGAGTATATGCCAGATTCTCCAAACACGATTTCAAGGTGTTAACTATTGTTATTAGACATTTTTTTAAAAAATATATTTTTCATTGATTTTTTACAGAGAGGAAGGGAGAGAGATAGAAACATCGATGAGAGAGAAACATCGATCAGCTGCCTCCTGCACACCTCCTACTGGGGATGTGCCCACAACCAAGGTACATGCCCTTGACCGGAATCGAACCTGGGACCCTTCAGTCCGCAGGCCGACGCTCTATCCACTGAGCCAAACTGGTCAGGGCATAGACATTTATTTTTTAATCCTTACCCAAGGATTTTTTTTTTTTTTTACATTTTTTGAGAAGGAGGGAGAGAGAGAGAAAGAGAGAAACATCAATGTGAGGATCATCGATAAGTTGCCTCCACATATGCCCTGACTGGGCATCGAACCCCCACAACCTTGGTGTATCAGGATGATGCTCTAACCAACTTGAAAAAAAAAAATGATTTTAGAGACTGATTTTAGAGGGAGAGGAAGGGAGAGGGAGAGAGGTTGGGGCCAAGGCCACGGAGCTTGCAGAGGTATGGCTGAGGACAAGGAGTGGTCCCCATCACCAGGCCGGGCCGCCTGGCCAAGGACATGAAGATGATCCGAGGATATTTTCTTCACTGATCTCCAGAGAGAGTGGAAAGCAGGGGAAGAGACAGACAAAACATCCACGTGAGAGAGACACATCGATTGGCTGCCTCCTGCAGGTGCCCCAACTGGGGCCAAGATTGAGCCTGCAACCCAGGTACATGCCCTTGACCAGAATCAAACCTGTGACCCTTCAGTCCGTGGGCTAATGCTCTAATCACTGTGCAAAACCAGCTAGGGCTATAACATTTTTGATTTAAAAAAAAAAAAA